GTCAGGGATATCAAGACTACCTGACAAAGGATGGCACAAAAGTTTTGCAAGCAAGGACAAGACAGTACCAATCCTTTCATTACCTAGTGAAACGGATCATGCCATCAATCAATTGCACAAACACCAAGTTTGATGTGCGGAGCAGGAGGAGACAATCAGCAACATCTTCACCTTGAGTGACAAGGCATTTGCCCTTGTGCTACTTGAGAACTATGAGAGTCGTTGGAGGAAACAGCATGAGGATCTTAAATCAGCAAGACTCCGAGGTAAGGAACATGCCTCTATAAGCAAGGAGTTCAAGGCCAAATTCACATCAAGTGACGATGGCCTGAAGCTGAAGTCATCTGGTTGGAGTTGACAGGGAATTGAAAGCTACAATGAGAAGTTGAGTTCAATTGGTAAGTTAAGAAGGCAATCCCGCAAAAATGATTTTTGAATTCAGATTCCAGAGCGTTGCTATCCAGGCTGGCGCGAGGTATGCGGGCGTTTTGTTTGCATCCCTATTCGGCTGGATATATATTTACCGGTATAATAAGAGGCTACAACGCGAACCCAAAAAGTCCTGGCGAACGGTATTTTTAAAAGAAAGGGAACACGACCAAAATATCTGCATAATATTCAATATCATTTTCCATTCACATACACCATTCTCCGTTCATTTCAGGTGGGACGGTCTTCCTCTCGGTCAGTGTATCAGTACCAAAGCCATGCTTTGAGCTAAGTGTCCTTCTGTGCAATGTGCAAATAGTTGATACCGCAAAGAATTAAACCGTCATGCATATGACTGCTTGTCAATAGGGAGGATCTGTGCGCTTTCAGTTGTCAGTCACAGTTTCTAGTTCGAGTTAAGAGCTCTTCCGGCCCTTTTTAAAGTTATATCAAATTCGCGGGCATTTAGATGTAATCTCTACATGATTACAAGGGTGTTGACTTACAAAGTAGTAGATAATATAGATAGTAATTTGACAGCTGCCACAACGTAGTCATAACTTGACATCGTCCACATGTCGTGTCTGTCCAAAGTTTTCTCTCGTAACCTAGCTCCCAAGTAGCTTGCTGGAGGTTCAATCTTCCCTTTCTTGAATTTGAACACCCTTCCAATCCCTTCCATCACTTCTTTGGCTTTCATCAACATACAGAGGATGTCGTTGACATAGCAAAGGATGTATTCGTAGTATTCCTCGCCGTCAGGTTTCACTGCTGCTTGCATCCAAACGTCTGGGCCGGCAGTTGACAAGCTGAAGCCCAAATCTTCAAAAGTCTCCGCCAAATGGGATCTGAATGCTGCGGATGAACTCTTTAAGCCATATAATGCTCTTCTTACAATGAATACTTTGCCTTCTTCCTCACCGGACTCGGGTCCTGCTGGTGCAGTGAGGAATGCGTTTTGAATATCCGTGCATTGCAAGTCTAATCCATATAGCGCTGCTATCATTAGTAGTATCTGAACTGAATCACGGGACACTACCATACTGTAGGTCAATGCTGCAGGTGCTTCAGTCTTGTGTCCATCAGCGCAGTACATAGCTTTCCTTTGGAGGTTTTCTCCTAGTTTCACATGAAATACCAGGTGTCCCGTGATCTTTTTATATCCCATCAGCTTCTCTATGTCTCCATCAAATTCTTCAAAGGCGATTCGATTGTTCTTCATCTCCATTTGTATCAAGTCTTGCCATAAAGTGTCCCCATTCGCTTTGTTGATTTTGACGGCTTCTTTGATCGATTTTGGGATACGTATTCCGTACTTGTGTGTACCTTCCCAGTACTTCAATTTTACTTTGCAAGAAATCGCTTTCGCTTTTGAACAACCTGTGGGATCCACCACGCAAAAGCGGGTTCGTCTTGAATGCCCTTGCTTATCGCATAGTCGGCCACTTCAATCGGAAACGACTCCTTCATAGCTTTCAAAGGTATCCCATTCAAGGAACAATCTTTCTAAGTAACGTAGATGTCCCATCCTGCTGTTGTGTGCCGTCTTCGTTGCGTTCCACTTGCGAGGGAATAGAAACCATCCTGCTTCTTTACTGCCTTCTCATCAGAACAATGTTCCGTGATTTCCTCCATTAGCGAGTGTCTGTGTCCATGTTCGTCCACTTGTGCTAATAAGTTCTCTGCTAGCAAGTTCGCAGTGAGTACTTCGGTGATTCCATCGTTGTATTTGACTTTGTATTGTTGTTCGCTACGCCAGCTCGATTTCCTTCTGCATCAATATGGCGGATCGCGTTCCTCTTTGTAGCGTCGATCTCAAGGTGGCTCGTGCCCTGTGCAAACCGATTCCCAGTTGTTCAGATAGCTTCTCTGCCGTTGCTTTGGTATGTCGTTCAGTGGATACAAAGGATGGTCTCACAGCTACGTCTGCAGATTGTGCATCATCGTCCATTTGTCCAAATTGTTGAAAGAATCTCTCCCCATTGACTATCGTTTGCTGTACTGTGCGCCATTTGTTCTTGCATGATTGGATCCAATTGTCTCAATTCAGCTTCATTGGATCTTGGGTCATCTATTGTGTCTTCGTGAACAATTGAGACTTTCCCAAGTTGGACAGTACCTGGATTCCAAGGCACTTTACTTTGCTTGTCATATCAGTGTGGGGGCAATTTGCAAGTTCTTGATCAGTTGGAGCCCTTGAATCAAATAGTAGCTTTGCCCCCTTTGTCTTGAGTGCAACAAATATTGGCTTGGTCTCGATACCAACATCCCTCCTCTCCTCAAACAGATTATCCCATAGAGGGATTCTGAACTTGCAGACTTGGTTTGGATTGATCAATGAATGATCTAAGCGGTTCCCGTAGTACAGTGCTTCGTTGAATATCAATATGAACATGGTGCCGCTCTGTGGGCAGTCATAAGCGGTCGCTCCAGATACCATTGGTACATTCATTGGTGGCAGAGCTGGATTGCACGCATATACGTCCGCCTATCTTGGTGTGTAGCTCATGATAACAAATTTCTTGCCAAGGCAACAAGTGTCGGCGTTAGTGTCCATCTCATTGCTCGCCATTGTTCCTGGTGTTGGTTGTTGCACTGGTCGCTGGGATGTGGCCGTGTTGGATGAGATCACCCTTACAGTTCGTCTGATCTCACTTATCGCATTTCAGGTCCTCCCACTTGCCTGTTGGTTGCGTCCGCCCATTGCTGTACTTCCAGCTGTTCCCATAGTCACTTGTGATATCTGCGTGGCTGCTTCGGCTGGGACTGTAGCAGGAACGTTATTTGATTTCATCAATGCTACCTTGGCTCGCAATTCCGCCAGCTGCATTTCCACTTGTTGTGTTTGTGCGGCCTGTCTCGTTGTTCTTCTTGGCGGCAATCTTTGACTTTACATTGTTTATTGGTAAACGCTCGTAGATGTGTCGGAGAGAAACGGTAGCTAGGATGGTACCAGATCTTCTCTCCATTACTCAGAGTAATCTCTTCTTTGTTGCGATGTTTGTTGCCTCCTCCATCGTTTTGGCTCCTGCTTCTGTCGCAATCATTGTCAGCTCTAGTTTCGCTCAAGTATCGTCCCCTATCGGCTGCATTGCTGATTCCTTGGGGACACTTTTCTCTCACTGCAGTTTGGTAGATTTGTAATGCTGTTGTGAAAGTCATTAACATCGGTCTTTTGCTAATTTCTGTATCGATTGCCGTCTTGTTCAGTTGTAGAAATGGTGCTGTAACCTTACTTTGTAGGCTACGCAGTTTCATTGCGTCTGAATGGACTTCTCTCCCCTCATGTTTGTCGCATGCTGCATACGCTTTCTTCAGCATTCGTTCAAACATGGACCAGTTCATTTTGGGTTTTTCACCAACATAATACAGTTCTTTGATGGTGTGTTCAGCTTCAACGATATCGCTGGCTAGTATCCCTTCGCCTGCATAGTGGGTACGCAGTGCTTTGAATGCTTCTCTTCCATTGCCTGCAATGTTGATGGCTTGGAGGGTCGCCTCAGCTTCCGTATTCCCCACAATAAACTTGCTTAGAAGGACTAGTACTTTGGCGTTGTCCATGACGTATGCTTCGCCAATGTGTGGTGCCATGTTGATGTATATTTCCAAGAAATCTTTGTGCAGGGTGAGTATTCCTGCATCGTTCATTCTCACAATGTAACTCAGTGGCACACCGTCTCTTCCTGGTATGGTGCAAAGGTAGTTTTCGAATGTTGGGCATCAATCCTCCCATCGGACATTGTCGGTGAAGTCTTGTGGTAGCGCTTGTTGCAACATCAACTTGGAGCCGTATACGTATTGCTCATGTGTCTTCATGCGTCTGAGCAGTTTGGCTGCATCAACAACAGAAAATGGCACTGTGATAGGGTCTCGTCCCATGCAAATCTCGTCTCTGCACCATTGGATGAATGCGCGGATGTTCTTCTTGATAGCTGGCATCAAGCGTATCTGCCCTTGCGCGATCGTCAATCCTGCGAGGGTTTTGAACTCTTCGTTTAGTTCGTTGATGGTGCTGTCCATTGTTGCGGTGAGAATATTTCATAAGGAATTCTCTCGTCTTGTGTGCGTCCTTGGAAAAGGGTGGCATCGTCAATGCCATAGATGACCATGTCATCATGTACAGTGAAAAGAGGAGGAACGGCGGCCATGTTGCCTGTATCAATATCATACATCACATTGTTTGTTCACATTTCTTTCATTCGTAACAGTTTTTGTTCTTGTTGTTCAGCACGATTCGTAACAGTTTTCGTTGGTGTTGTTCAGCACCATTCGTGACAGTTTTCGTTTGCTCAGCACAATTCGTGACAGTTTTTGTTGGTGTTGCTCAGCACCGTTCGTTGCAGTTTTCGTTGGTGTTGCTCAGCACGTTCATCATAATGTTCATAACATTTGATGTCATTTCGCATTTACAATTATTTTCATCATTACGTTCATAACGTTTGATGGCATTGCATTTCAATACATTTCAATACATTTCAATACATTTCAATACGTTTCAATACGTTTCAATATATAATACGTTTTATTTTCGTTTCGTTCGTCGGATAACTTTTGACAATTATTGCTGGATCTGATAAACCATATAAATGTAATCGTTACATTATTACAAGAGTGTTGACTTACAAAGTAGTAGATATTATAGATAGTAATGTAGATAAAATCGTATTCTTAAAAAGAGTATTGCAATCGTCGTTTCATCGACAGGCTCCTTGGATCTACACATTGTTTTTGTACGTGAATTTCCCCACCAAAAATGATAACGCAGTCACAAAAATGCCTTACTGAACGAATCACGTTTTTATTAAAAAAACACGCAGTATATATAACCACGCACCCTATCATCCTCCAACAAATTCGATTCAAAACAAACAAGATGATCCATCCTCTTTTGTCTCCAGCATACCAGGGTTTCCAAATAGCAGGACCTCATGCTATGCTGCTTGTGCAACAAATTGCTTCCACCGATCAAAGGATATGGAATCCTAAAAACGACAAGTGGAAACAAATGTGATCATCACACTTGTTTTCAATGTTTGTCGAAACGCGTTGCAATGGTTCCTCTAACAGAATGAATACTTTGCCTCAGCACGAATGCTTTCATACTTCTACTGCAACACCCAGCACACTCCCCATGCGAGAGAAGTTCTTTGTGTATCAAAGCGCATTAGTTTTGCAAGAAGCTCCCTCATTTGTTGGTGCGGAGCATCGTGTGCAATCCATGAATATGTACTGCGCTGGAATCTTGTTTAACACGGCCATTCTGCATCACCAAAAGTCGATCAAGACTGGAATATCGGCATCCATGCATCGAGCAGAGCAGCTTTATCAAACAAGCCTTCAGATCATTGTGGGGCTTCCACGGTCCAACGATACGGTGACCCTCATTGCACTTGCAGCCACAAACAACTTGGCTCAGATCGAGTTTGAGAATGGACTGGTGGTTCAAGCGAGTGAAAGACTACGATTCCTAGTACATCTATTGTGCTCATTGGAAAATACGGCTGGACGAGTCTTCGCGGTTGACGAGTTCTACGGCGTGCTATCTAACACACTGTTGGCAAACGGCGTGTCTTTGTCACCAGCTGCCTAAAGGTTTTTAATTTTGGAATATCTTAGGCGGGAAGTTATCGAACCACGTTTCGTTTCATTTTCTTTGCTTTGTCATCATGTCATATGTGAATTTTGTAAAGTCTCCTTTCGTTGATAGCAGAACCTTGTGCAGTAGTTTGGGGATGAGTTGACCATCTTGATGACTGTTGTGGTAGACACTGGGCGACAACAGCCATTTGCTTTCGTTTGGGAAGGGTGGACGAGCCATCAATCCTCCTTTGTCTCCATCTGCCATTCCTGTTGCTCGGTTCCAAGTAGTGTTCTTGGTGCCTCTTTCAGAGAGCTGGTCGAATGTGAGCCATTCTGGAGACACCATTCGTTGCGAATCTCGATGGATAGGTGTTGGAGATGATGAGGATGAGGATGAGGATGATGATGATGCTACAAACGTTTTAGATGCACGAATGAGGAGGTTGGCTGTTACTCAACAGCGACGTCGACGCCAACAGAAGAGAACAGAGCAGTACCCCGCTTCGGATTATCCAACACCTCAAGCCTTCTTGCCTGGCTTTGGACTCTGGAAGATGAATGGTCATCATGTCTTGCAGCCCAATGCTACAGTACAGTATATTATTGGCATATTCGTACTGTATCTGGTACCGGTACCAGGTACTGTACCCCTACTACCAATATCTCCATATTGAGACAACGAGATTCCACTTTCAACCAATCAGATTGCTCCAAAGAGATTTGACTCGAAACAAATTTTTAAAAAATGCGTTTATGGGTTTTCAAATGAGTTTTCTATACAATAAGTACTCGTACCGATATATCTTATTACTGGAACACGTGCGCTGTGCGCAAAAAGCAAATCTAAAATATATTAGGGGAGAGTTTCAGGGGATATTCAACATGAGAGTATTTGAATGAATCAACTCTATCCTTGTTTGAATCGTACCGATACACACTGTAGTGGTAGCTGCTACCGGTGATATGGCATACCGGTAGATTGGATGGTCTTGCTGGATCATGAAGCATGGAATAAGCAAATTAGAAACATTCCATACCACTTGCGATCTGATCCGTGAACCTGCTTTTCCGGATTGACCGCAACCTTCAAACCAAACCACTGCAGTTCCTCGGGTTGTTGAGTAGCCACTTCTTCTAGTAGTCGTAGGGTGTACTAGCTCGTGCCATGAAGAAGAATGTGGGACCTAGCAGTACATGAGGTGATGGAAACATACGATGTAAGAAAATGATTGTTCAAGGTTCTAGCTAGATTATCTATTGAATATGTTGTTTTGTCTTCAACGTATCCAGTCGTCATGATTGAAGTCGACGCTCAAAAATGTCTCCAATCAAGCTGCATGCTACGTCAGCACTCGAACTTCAGGCACAGTTCCGTTGCCTTCCAATTTTGACAAAGGATTTTAAAAGTTTCCATTCGGAAGGTCAGAAAATGTCGTCTCATTTAAGGGTACCGGTACCAAAACACTTCGAATTACTTTGAAAGCGGTGCGAAGTATTCGTCGTTTGAGGGAGTTCAAGTTCGCCCTGATAAAATCTCTTGAATTGCAACAGATCATTTTTTGGACATATTTCCACGTACAGTCTTACTTTTTCTTTCTCCCTCAGATTATCATGATCTCGTTACAAGACACTTTGAACCTTAACAACAAAGCAGTGGCACTGTACCAATCCAATGATATGGGCGGGGCTGCTAAGACATACTAC